TAAACCAGCAAAGTTACGCAACCTTTGCCACGTACATCGCCATAACGGAGCCTCGAATAACGGAGGAATCAAGAAGTCGATGAGAATAGCGGATTCAACCCATGCCTATTGCCATCTCATGCGACACACTAGTCTCGTGAAGTTTGCCGTCCCCTTCCTTCAAAGCTTGATCGCAACACGAGCGGAACGACTGAAACAGGTGAGTGTGTTTGTGAGAGTATTTGTGCGTGGTTTTTCAAAGCAGAGTGCAATAGGAAAACATTAAAATGGGTAAAAATGAAAGTAATGGTAGTGATTTGGCACAACAGAGCTCGGCACCTTTGGCTGTGGTCGAGCCCTTTGCAGACATGTACGCAATGCAGATGGACTTATCTTCCAGGTTGACCCAACTAATTAAAAATGCTAAAAAGGACGGTCAAATAAAGAAAACTAAATCCTACTATGAGTTTCGCCTCAACAAGCTCAACGAGCTTTCAAAACAATTTTACACAAATCATCAAGCGCTCATTTTACAGCAATGTCCACGATCGCATCCATATTTTGCGGATGCTGTTGAAGACAATTTTGAGCAAGCATACAGCCACATTTATTGTTCTTTCGCCGATGAATACGAAACCAAGTTTCCAGTCCCAATACAGGTATCAGGTGACCAATCCATATACAACACCCTTGTGCCCATTCCTGTTTCCACAATTCAGCTGCCCAAATTGCCCGTACCCCACTTTTCAGGAAATTTTGTGGATTGGCCATCTTTTTATGACAGTTTTACGCAGCTAATACATGAAAATCAATCTCTTTCAAACATTCAAAAATTTCATTTCTTGAAGCAAGCACTACCGCACGGACGAGACCAGGATATAAACCATATGGCATTAACAGAAACCAACTATTCAGTGGCATGGAACCTTGTGGTAAAACGATACAACAACCCTCGACTGCAGTTCATGTACAATATGAATGCACTGTACGGAATCGAGCCACTGTCCAAGGAGATCGCGGTGGACCTTAGGAATTTGTTAAACTTGGCAAATGTATGTATTAGTGAATTCCGACGACTACACATTGCCATTGATTCCTGTGATCATTGGTTGGTACATCACTTACTCACAAAGCTGCCTATCAGCACAACACAGGCCTGGGAACATTCCCTGGGCAACAACGTGGAAATCCCCACCTTCACAAAGCTGGAGGTGTTTCTTCACAATCGATTGGTCAGCATCGACCTAATCGATAGTAGGAAACCAGCCGTTCCAGTTAGATCATCTATACAATCGACCAACCATCGCCAGACAACCAGACCATCGGGAAACTCCACTGTTAGGGGACACAGCTTCCACAGTACTCTTGAGTCTGGATCCACCAGGTGCTCGCTCTGCCAACAGAATCAAGTTCTAAGACGGTGCCCGGACTTCCTTGCCAAGGATTGTTTCGCGCGAAAGGTTATAGTCGACCGCTCGAAGGCATGCATCAATTGCCTTAGTGCTTCCCATTCTCTCAGTCAATGCAGCAGCAACCGAAACTGCTCGCAATGTGGTCAACGGCACCACACTTTGTTACATTTCCCGAATGCTCAACAAAGTCCTTCATTGACTCCTGGAGTATCCCGACAGCATACTTCAGACTCTGGTCGGAGCGCAGACGCGGTACAAAATGCACCATCAACGCAACTCTTCAGCGCAGTTGCCTCCCATCTGAACTCAACGACCCTTCTTGCTACTGCACTGGTTCGGATCGTAAATAACTCCACTGGGCAGTCAGCTTTAGTTCGAGCTCTCATCGACCATGGCTCGGAAGGCACCCTCATCACGGAAAACATCGTTCAAGCGCTTAGACTCAAACGGCATCCTGTTCGAGCTGAGATCACTGGAATTGGTAATACGTCGCATAATCAGTGCAGGCACTGCACCGACTTCACCATAATCTCATGTTCAGGATCGGATTTTAGTGCCTACGTATCTCAGACGTCATCCTTCGGTCACTAACAGGTCATTTACCAAAACAAAATGTAAACATTAAGTCCTGTAAACATCTCCAAGGGTTATCCTTTGCAGATCCTAATTTCATCAAGTCGGGTCGCATTGACCTACTTATCGGTGTCGACATTATCCCGCAATTAATGCATCCGGACATACGCAAAGGGACGGTTGCAGAACCAATTGCACAAAACACACAGCTGGACTGCATAGTTTCTGGACCAGCTGAAGCAGCCCAGACGACATCAATCTCCATTCGTTGTAATTTGGCAAACCTAAACAACATGGTACAGAGGTTTTTCGAATTGGATCAGGTCTCCACAACACGACAACTCAACGCAGAGGAAAAATGGTGTGAAGACCATTTTCAACAAACTCATATCCGTCAGCCGAATGGGAAATATCTAGTTCGTTTGCCTTTAAAAACGTTGTTTGACCCCACACAGGTGATCGGCCGGTCAAGACAAATCGCATTAAACCGTTTCCACGCCCTGGAAAGGAAACTTAATCATCGGCCAGATTTCAGTCAACAGTATGCCGGCACTATTCAAGAGTACTTTGATCTAAAGCAGTTAAAAGAGGTAAAAGGTAGTGAGGAAGAACACACTAGGATCAACGCTCAAAGGCAACTCTCAATCTCTGCGTGCACCGTTCCACATCATGCTGTGATCAAAGACGACAGTTTAACTACAAAGATGCGCGTCGTATACGACGCTTCGTGCAAAACGTCGAACGGGAGGTCTTTGAATGATATTTTATGCACGGGTCCCGCCCTACAAAACGATCTTGGAGGAGTTATACTCAACTGGCGTCTCCATCGGTATGTCTTCGTGGCCGATATAACGAAAGTGTATCGCTGCATAGATATGCATGAAGAAGATGCCCAGTATTAGCAAATTTTTTGGCTACTCTAACAGTAGCATTTTTGAGATAGACAATAAGGACTCCACTAAAACTTTAGGGTTGTATTGGCATCCAAACAAAGATGGTTTTGGTTTTAATCTTAAGTTTTCTCTCAATCCTATATTCACCAAACGTTCTATACTATCCACAATAGCACGCTTATTCGATCCGTTGGGACACCTGGCACCAGTGATCATCACTGCGAAAATCCTGTTGAAAGAAGTTTGGAGTTTTCGTATCGAGCGCAAGGATGAGCCCCCCGCATCATTAGATTGGGACGACCCATTGCCAGATCAACTCGCCGAGCGGTGGCGACAGCTCATTCAAGAGCTCCCCGACATTGAAGAGATACACATCCCTCGGTGGTTAGGCTTCGATTTAAGGCATGTCTCGATGTTGCAACTACACATGTTTTGTGATGGATCATCCATGGCGTATGCAGCATGCGCTTATCTTCGAGCTAGTTGTACGGATGGTTCCGTGCAGGTTAACTTATTAGCCGCCCGCAGTCGAGTCACACCTGTTAAGCCGCTAACAATTCCGAGAGTTGAGTTATCCGGAGCCCTGCTGTGTACACAATTAGCCGATTGGATTGTCAATCAACTTCAAGCATCACATCACACCATATCCGTACACTACTGGTCGGATGCAATGATAGTGCTGTATTGGATCAGCGGAGACCCCAGGCGTTGAAAGACATTTGTGTCGAATAGAATTGGAGCCATCCTGGAGGCAAGCTCGCCATCGCAGTGGAGACATGTTCTTACGCAAGAAAACCCAGCAGATTGTGCTACACGCGGACTCACCCCTTCCCAGCTGAAACACCACACGCTTTGGTGGAACGGACCACACTGGCTGCATCTTTCAGAGGAGCATTGGCCAGTCAATCCAGTTCAGTCCCCAAAATCAGAACTTATTTCAGGAGAGCAATCCTTAAAGCACATCGGAGCCCACATTTGTATAGAAGTGCAACCATTTATCGAATCATATTCCTCCTATAATAAACTCTTATTCGTTACAGCCTACGTCAAACGATTCATTTATAATACTCGTCACAAAAAAGCGGATAGACTCACCGGCCCTATTCAGGTATCTGAATTTCAACAGGCTTTGTTCGCACTGGTGCGGATGGTTCAACAAGAAGTCTATTCGGAAGAATTATCAAGACTACGATCCAACAAATTTCTATCCAAACACAACAAACTCAGCCAGCTATCACCGTTTCTCGACGATGAGGGGCTCATGAGAGTTAAAGGCAGACTCAAGAATGCTTTGCAGCTCTCCATGTCTCAACGCACACCAATAATCCTTCCAAAGGCCCACCACTTGACGATTTTGGTTATAAGGAACGCTCATCACAACACCTTACATGGCGGTGTGCAACTAACTTTATCTACAATTCATCAAGTTTTCTGGATCGTCAACGGTAAACAGGCAGTAAAAAGGATTCTGCGACAGTGCGTAACCTGTTTCAAACACCGGCCGTCACCATCAAGCCAACTGATGGGAGATTTACCAGCGCACCGTGTCAATCCGCCCAAACGGGCGTTCGAAGCAACTGGAGTTGATTACACTGGTGCGATTGAGATAAAGTCATCTAGATTCAGAGGTCACACTTGCTATAAAGCATACATTGCAGTTTTCATTTGCTTAGCGAGCAAAGCGATTCATTTGGAAGCAGTCACGGGAATGTCGGCACAGCATTTTCTGTGGGCGCTGCAGCGCTTTATCGGACGTAGGGGTTTTTGTCAACATCTATACAGCGACTGTGGAACCAACTTTATCTCATCCGACAAGTCTCTAAAGCTGTGGACCAATGAATTCTATAAAGGAATTGAAGAGACAGTAGTTCCTGAACTTACTCGTCGAAACATTCAGTGGCATTTCAATCCTCCACATAGTCCAAACTTTGGAGGACTCTGGGAATCCAAAGTAAAAGCTGTTAAAACCAATCTTTATCGATCGTTTAATGGGATTCGAATGACGTACGGGCAGCTGTCTACCATTCTTGTCCAGATAGAAGCGTGCTTAAACTCTCGGCCATTATGCCCCTTAACGTCTGACTTAGATGATTTGCAAGCTCTCACCCCTGCACATTTTTTAATCGGAGATTCGATGATGTCACTCCCTGAGCCTAGTCTTAAGGATTCTTCATTAAACACAGAGTTCCTGAATGGTCAAAGGATGTTTCGCCTCTTTTGGAGAAAATGGAGTGCAGATTGGCTATCTCATCTGCAGGCGCGCCCCAAGTGGCGCCACGAAACTGACAATCTTCAGCGTAACGACATGATCATCATCAAGGATGATCGAACTGGTCCTTCTGACTGGAAATTAGGGCGAATCATCGACTTACATCCTGGGGCCGATGGGCTCGTTCGAGTAGCTACAATTAAGACCTCAACGGGTTTTTACAAGAGGTCTGTGTCAAAGATTTGTCGTTTGCCCTTGCCAAGATTTACTGAAGAGTCTAGCCCAAGTACACAACCCATGCACCTTTGAATATACCCGCATTCACTCCATAACACACTTCAATCTTTTCAGAGTTAAGCATGGTCTAAGGCTTTGAATACTGGGTCCAGTATTGGGGGCGGCATGAACGGGTGTTTCTGTCGATTAGGAGAAGCTGGACAGCTGTTTTCTGGCGACTCTGAGAAGCAGTGGACAACAGCAGTTTTAACAGCGAATGTTAGATTTCTGCTGCTAATGTTAGCAGCATGACACTACGAAGAAGACATAAGGAGAAGCTGGTCGCGTTTATAACCGAGCTTTTATATTTCCTAATTTGTAAATTAAAAGTTAGCAATTAAGTCAAAGATTGAAAGTATACAAATGAATACAACTGGTGAAGTTCAACAAATTTCTGAGTTTTTATTACAAAGTGTGTGAAAGACCCCCAGAGTAGACTTCTGCTCAACTTTGGCGATCGGGTGCGAATCGTCACAACATTTTGGTGGCCCATGAGGGGAACATACACTCATAACTTCATCAGCTTCCAATATTTGTAAACATACTTCAATCTTTGTGCTTACTTGTTTGCAAATCTACTATTAATTTAAACCAGCAAAGTTACGCAACCTTTGCCACGTACATCGCCATAACGGAGCCTCGAATAACGGAGGAATCAAGAAGTCGATGAGAATAGCGGATTCAACCCATGCCTATTGCCATCTCATGCGACACACTAGTCTCGTGAAGTTTGCCGTCCCCTTCCTTCAAAGCTTGATCGCAACACGAGCGGAACGACTGAAACAGGTGAGTGTGTTTGTGAGAGTATTTGTGCGTGGTTTTTCAAAGCAGAGTGCAATAGGAAAACATTAAAATGGGTAAAAATGAAAGTAATGGTAGTGATTTGGCACAACAGAGCTCGGCACCTTTGGCTGTGGTCGAGCCTTTTGCAGACATGTACGCAATGCAGATGGACTTATCTTCCAGGTTTACCCAACTAATTAAAAATGCTAAAAAGGACGGTCAAATAAAGAAAACTAAATCCTACTATGAGTTTCAAAACAATTTTACACAAATCATCAAGCGCTCATTTTACAGCAATGTCCACGATCGCATCCATATTTTGCGGATGCTGTTGAAGACAATTTTGAACAAGCATACAGCCACATTTATTGTTCTTTCGCCGATGAATACGAAACCAGGTTTCCAGTCCCAATACAGGTATCAGGTAATCAATCCATAAACAACACCCTTGTGCCCATTCCTGTTTCCACAATTCAGCTGCCCAAATTGCCCGTACCCCACTTTTCAGGAAATTTTGTGGATTGGCCATCTTTTTATGACAGCTTTACGCAGCTAATACATGAAAATCAATCTCTTTCAAACATTCAAAAATTTCATTTCTTGAAGCAAGCACTACCGCACGGACGAGACCAGGATATAAACCATATGGCATTAACAGAAACCAACTATTCAGTGGCATGGAACCTTGTGGTAAAACGATACAACAACCCTCGACTGCAGTTCATGTACAATATGAATGCACTGTACGGAATCGAGCCACTGTCCAAGGAGATCGCGGTGGACCTTAGGAATTTGTTAAACTTGGCAAATGTATGTATTAGTGAATTCCGACGACTACACATTGCCATTGATTCCTGTGATCATTGGTTGGTACATCACTTACTCACAAAGCTGCCTATCAGCACAACACAGGCCTGGGAACATTCCCTGGGCAACAACGTGGAAATCCCCACCTTCACAAAGCTGGAGGTGTTTCTTCACAATCGATTGGTCAGCATCGACCTAATCGATAGTAGGAAACCAGCCGTTCCAGTTAGATCATCTATACAATCGACCAACCATCGCCAGACAACCAGACCATCGGGAAACTCCACTGTTAGGGGACACAGCTTCCACAGTACTCTTGAGTCTGGATCCACCAGGTGCTCGCTCTGCCAACAGAATCAAGTTCTAAGACGGTGCCCGGACTTCCTTGCCAAGGATTGTTTCGCGCGAAAGGTTATAGTCGACCGCTCGAAGGCATGCATCAATTGCCTTAGTGCTTCCCATTCTCTCAGTCAATGCAGCAGCAACCGAAACTGCTCGCAATGTGGTCAACGGCACCACACTTTGTTACATTTCCCGAATGCTCAACAAAGTCCTTCATTGACTCCTGGAGTATCCCGACAGCATACTTCAGACTCTGGTCGGAGCGCAGACGCGGTACAAAATGCACCATCAACGCAACTCTTCAGCGCAGTTGCCTCCCATCTGAACTCAACGACCCTTCTTGCTACTGCACTGGTTCGGATCGTAAATAACTCCACTGGGCAGTCAGCTTTAGTTCGAGCTCTCATCGACCATGGCTCGGAAGGCACCCTCATCACGGAAAACATCGTTCAAGCGCTTAGACTCAAACGGCATCCTGTTCGAGCTGAGATCACTGGAATTGGTAATACGTCGCATAATCAGTGCAGGCACTGCACCGACTTCACCATAATCTCATGTTCAGGATCGGATTTTAGTGCCTACGTATCTCAGACGTCATCCTTCGGTCACTAACAGGTCATTTACCAAAACAAAATGTAAACATTAAGTCCTGTAAACATCTCCAAGGGTTATCCTTTGCAGATCCTAATTTCATCAAGTCGGGTCGCATTGACCTACTTATCGGTGTCGACATTATCCCGCAATTAATGCTTCCGGACATACGCAAAGGGACGGTTGCAGAACCAATTGCACAAAACACACAGCTGGACTGCATAGTTTCTGGACCAGCTGAAGCAGCCCAGACGACATCAATCTCCATTCGTTGTAATTTGGCAAACCTAAACAACATGGTACAGAGGTTTTTCGAATTGGATCAGGTCTCCACAACACGACAACTCAACGCAGAGGAAAAATGGTGTGAAGACCATTTTCAACAAACTCATATCCGTCAGCCGAATGGGAAATATCTAGTTCGTTTGCCTTTAAAAACGTTGTTTGACCCCACACAGGTGATCGGCCGGTCAAGACAAATCGCATTAAACCGTTTCCACGCCCTGGAAAGGAAACTTAATCATCGGCCAGATTTCAGTCAACAGTATGCCGGCACTATTCAAGAGTACTTTGATCTAAAGCAGTTAAAAGAGGTAAAAGGTAGTGAGGAAGAACACACTAGGATCAACGCTCAAAGGCAACTCTCAATCTCTGCGTGCACCGTTCCACATCATGCTGTGATCAAAGACGACAGTTTAACTACAAAGATGCGCGTCGTATACGACGCTTCGTGCAAAACGTCGAACGGGAGGTCTTTGAATGATATTTTATGCACGGGTCCCGCCCTACAAAACGATCTTGGAGGAGTTATACTCAACTGGCGTCTCCATCGGTATGTCTTCGTGGCCGATATAACGAAAGTGTATCGCTGCATAGATATGCATGAAGAAGATGCCCAGTATTAGCAAATTTTTTGGCTACTCTAACAGTAGCATTTTTGAGATAGACAATAAGGACTCCACTAAAACTTTAGGGTTGTATTGGCATCCAAACAAAGATGGTTTTGGTTTTAATCTTAAGTTTTCTCTCAATCCTATATTCACCAAACGTTCTATACTATCCACAGTAGCACGCTTATTCGATCCGTTGGGATACCTGGCACCAGTGATCATCGCTGCGAAAATCCTGTTGAAAGAAGTTTGGAGTTTTCGTATCGAGCGCAAGGATGAGCCCCCCGCATCATTAGATTGGGACGACCCATTGCCAGATCAACTCGCCGAGCGGTGGCGACAGCTCATTCAAGAGCTCCCCGACATTGAAGAGATACACATCCCTCGGTGGTTAGGCTTCGATGTAAGGCATGTCTCGACGTTGCAACTACACATGTTTTGTGATGGATCATCCATGGCGTATGCAGCATGCGCTTATCTTCGAGCTAGTTGTACGGATGGTTCCGTGCAGGTTAACTTATTAGCCGCCCGCAGTCGAGTCACACCTGTTAAGCCGCTAACAATTCCGAGAGTTGAGTTATCCGGAGCCCTGCTGTGTACACAATTAGCCGATTGGATTGTCAATCAACTCCAAGCATCACATCACACCATATCCGTACACTACTGGTCGGATGCAATGATAGTGCTGTATTGGATCAGCGGAGACCCCAGGCGTTGAAAGACATTTGTGTCGAATAGAATTGGAGCCATCCTGGAGGCAAGCTCGCCATCGCAGTGGAGACATGTTCTTACGCAAGAAAACCCAGCAGATTGTGCTACACGCGGACTCACCCCTTCCCAGCTGAAACACCACACGCTTTGGTGGAACGGACCACACTGGCTGCATCTTTCAGAGGAGCATTGGCCAGTCAATCCAGTTCAGTCCCCAAAATCAGAACTTATTTCAGGAGAGCAATCCTTAAAGCACATCGGAGCCCACATTTGTATAGAAGTGCAACCATTTATCGAATCATATTCCTCCTATAATAAACTCTTATTCGTTACAGCCTACGTCAAACGATTCATTTATAATACTCGTCACAAAAAAGCGGATAGACTCACCGGCCCTATTCAGGTATCTGAATTTCAACAGGCTTTGTTCGCACTGGTGCGGATGGTTTAACAAGAAGTCTATTCGGAAGAATTATCAAGACTACGATCCAACAAATTTCTATCCAAACACAGCAAACTCAGCCAGCTATCACCGTTTCTCGACGATGAGGGGCTCATGAGAGTTAAAGGCAGACTCAAGAATGCTTTGCAGCTCTCCATGTCTCAACGCACACCAATAATCCTTCCAAAGGCCCACCACTTGACGATTTTGGTTATAAGGAACGCTCATCACAACACCTTACATGGCGGTGTGCAACTAACTTTATCTACAGTTCATCAAGTTTTCTGGATCGTCAACGGTAAACAGGCAGTAAAAAGGATTCTGCGACAGTGCGTAACCTGTTTCAAACACCGGCCGTCACCATCAAGCCAACTGATGGGAGATTTACCAGCGCACCGTGTCAATCCGCCCAAACGGGCGTTCGAAGCAACTGGAGTTGATTACACTGGTGCGATTGAGATAAAGTCATCCAGATTCAGAGGTCACACTTGCTATAAAGCATACATTGCAGTTTTCATTTGCTTAGCGAGCAAAGCGATTCATTTGGAAGCAGTCACGGGAATGTCGGCACAGCATTTTCTGTGGGCGCTGCAGCGCTTTATCGGACGTAGGGGTTTTTGTCAACATCTATACAGCGACTGTGGAACCAACTTTATCTC